CTATTCAGTCGTAATTGTTTTAGCGAGAAAAACTTGCTAACCATTACTCCACCTCGAGGAGCCCTGATTTTCTAAGCGTAGCTTCGATGTGGCACAAGGCCGAAAGTATGGGGCACCCAGTGAGGATCGAACTCACTACTCAGTCGTACTTGTTCTAGCGAAACAAGCTTGCTAACCATTACACCGCCTAGAGTTGACCCCAATCACACTGTATATGTCTGTATGCAAGGTGGGGAGTGACATTAAACTGGGTTGTGTCCCGACGCCCACACTCTTAGACATTTATTTTGCTGCCCTCCTACAACATGCTTTTGATGGGAGCGATGATGGCGTTTACCTTAAGCTAGGTTCGATGGATCTCTTTTCAATGTGAAAAGACGTCAAAACGACTGCCGACTGAAGTGTTCATTAGAGAATTACTTTTCGTTGATGATGCTGCGATGGCGGCGAACAGTGAAATCAAGCTTCAACGGCTTGTCGAGCGGAGACATGCGATCTCTTCGGGTTGATAATCTGCGTAAAAAAATTCAGATAATAGAACAAGAGACGAATGGTGGGGAATCTCTGAAAACAGTAGATTTGTTTACTTGGGATCCACCATAACATCGACCCTATCTATATAAGCAAAATTGGAAAAAGATAAGCAAAAAATTGATAAGCAAAATGGGAAAAGGCCACAGCTGCATTCAGGAAACTTAAAGAACAAGGGAAAGTGATAAACTTGTGATAAAAACCAAGACTCTAATTTACTAAACATGCGCTCACTCAACATTCCTTTACGGGAGGCAGATGTGGACCTTTGTCAGGAGAAGAGGTTAATTAGTTTTTACATGACTTGTAAGATAGGATTCCGGATACAGAAGTGCTCAAAAGAGCTGGCATTCAGTCACTATATCCCATCCTGTGGTCTCGGCGTCTCAGGTGGCTTGGGCACGTTGTGCGCATGGATAACTCCAGAATTCCCAAAACAGATACTGTATGGGGAACTGTCTCAGGGCACGCGTAGCTTTGGACGACCCAAGCTTCGCTTAACGTCTATGATGGAATTTTCTATCAATGTGGCGAACTGGGACGCAGTTGTCCGGGAAAGAGTGAGGTGGAGAGCTGCTGTTTTCGCGGGAGCAAAAAGCTATGAAGAGAATAGAGTCCAGCGTGCCGTAGAGGCTATACAAAGACGCAAATGCCCCACGGTGGATGACTCCATAGTATTCTACTGTAGTCGTTGTTAGAAACCGCACCGATCACCCATTGGTTGTTTTAGCCATGAGCGGCGCTGTGTTTTAAGATAACTTATTTTCCGCTACCGACCGTCACCATCGACGAAAAAAGCCATATATGTATACATGTGTGTATCCAAATGTAACAGCCACATGGTGAAGGAAGCTATACTTGTTTTCAATATAGCTAAGATGGATTAACTATCTAATGGTTTGATTTGTTTGTTTAACGGCAAATCAACTCCTTATGGGTCATTTAATGCTGAAATTTAATTTGCTTGGTAGCTTTGAAGTAATAAAAATATGATATATGTTATTCTACTTCCGCAGTTGAATACATGGCAGATGATACTCAGCATTTGTTCATATACATGTGTGTGAGGACATTGTTGTAGTTTAGTTGAAGTTATATTTTGGAATACAGTTTGATTTATTTAAGAAATTGTAGGATATTATCTCGATCAGGAAAAAGTTCTTTCATATTGATTGGTGTATTGTTGGTAATTTTACTATAAATAGGTATTGCTGGTAATTTTTTATATAAAAGTATATTTCTGGAATTTTTACTATTAAAAATGTATTTTTATATTTTCATATATTTTTGTATTTGTTTGTGGAGGTAACTATTTGCCTATATCTGGGTTTGGTTTGGTTTGTTTTGTTTTACGACATATCAACATCAATGGGTTATTTAATGCCGACAAAATTTTTTATTGCTGGTAATGTTTTTCTTCAAAAATCTATTTCTGGGAATATTTTTCCTTGATGAAATCTATAGCTGGTCATATTTTTCCAAAGAATGTATAGCTGTTTGTATTGCTGTTATTTTTTTTTAAAAGTATTGCTGATAATAATTTTCCTTCAAAAATTATTGCTGGTAATATTTTTTATTGCAAAGTATTTCTGGTATTAAAACCTATTTTTACACAAGTTTGGGTGTTAACTTTTTGCATATAGCTGGGACCCTAACAGGTGCTACAACCCCGGGTCAGGGTGGACCTGGAACACCAGCAATTAAGAGATGTTTCCACGCTCCTCAAAACCTCCTGATCAGAGGCCTTGCTGCTGGACGTAGTTTATCGTCTTACCCAGGACGCTGACCATAGCTGGGATTCTAACAGGTGCTACACCCCGGGTGAGGGTAGCCCTGGGAACAACAGCAATTAAGAGTTTGCTCTATACTCCTCAAAAACTCCATTATCCCAATCAGAGGCCTTGCTGTCAGAGGTAAGTTATTGTCATATCCAAGACTAATTATCCATCTCCGATCACAAGCTAGTTGTGCAAATGACGTATTTCATCTCTGGGTATGTTATGATGTCCGCAGCATCAGAGAATGAACAATGTTAATTTATCGACTCTAGTTTTGCCTATCTTATAGTAAATCCACTTCGAAAAGACTATTTGCTTCTGATTGGCTCACAGACTTATATCCTGGTTGTGAAAGCTTTCTGATTGGTTGGTTGAACTACCTATTTTTAGAGATGGTGAAGTTTTCGTTTTTATTTATATTATTTTTTATTTATTTCTCTCACCGCAAGAAAACTCAATGGAATATTCCTAATTGACTAAAACAGTGATGTAATCTCATCACAATCTTTTGACAAGTACACCTCAGGCCTCAACCTTTAGCACTCTGTCGGTAACTATTTTCACCAAGCAAAATCTTAGTCCTGCCAATGTAAGTTGAATTTCAATTTCTTTGGTGTGTAGTCATATCCTTCTATGGCAACACCTAAAACAATCTTGACTGAAATTGAGAGCCAGGTTACTGCAATTTCAAATATATAGAACTAATATATAAAACACTATATTTTGAGAGGATTCCATATACAGTAAAATGGGAATAATTATGAATGATACAAAGTGCTAAATGTTAAACAATCGGATCAACGTAATGGAACTATTGTTGCTACTTTATCTACAGTTAATTGTAATTATGTTGGATATAATTACTTATTGAAGGTGGATCTAGCACAATAATAGGCAAGGTTATCTTATTTAAATTATTTGTTGTTATTCTCAGGATTTTGAATTCATTCTTTGCCGTCATAATTACCAAGAGTGTACACGTGTTTATCAATTCCATTTTGCTAACTTCTATTCAAGTCATTGTCTTCCTCCAGGACTGTGGGCCGAGTAAATGTTGGTTAATCCAAATTTAATCGACAAGTTCCATGCTTGTAAACTTGACTTTTGTCGGTCCCAAAATGGTAACTTTAACTTTTAATATTTCTCACAGATATTTACATAACTTACCTAGTCTATCCAGAATTGGCATTAAATGAAGTATAAAGTATTCAGGCCGCCTTGGCCTGAATACTTTATACTTGGCAATGCATCAAGAACCAAAGATTAACCCCAGCCCTCTTCACTATGTGGAGAGGGCTAGGGTTAATATCTGGTTCTTGATGCATTGCCAAATGAGAAATGTCAAAGGGTTTTGAGGCGTTTTTATCAAAAGTTCCATGTATGCAAGCTTTTCCGTATTTTAACCAGGAGCAAACCCATTCATATGTTAGTCACGAGCAAAGCCATCAATATATCACTAATAACAAAACCATCCACATTTAACCAATGACAAATGCATCTATATTTAACAACTATCAAACCCATTCATATTTTAGCCACTGTCAAACCCACCTATATTTTAGCCACGAGAAAACCCATGTTTAACCACTAGCAAACCCATCCATATTTAACCACTAGTAATCCATCCATATTTAACCACTAGCAAACCTATCCATATTTAACCACTAGCAAACTGATCCATATTTTAGCCATGAGAGAACCCATCCATGTTTAACCACTAGTAATCCATCCATATTTAACCACTAGCAAACCTATCCATATTTAACCACTAGCAAACTGATCCATATTTTAGCCATGAGAGAACCCATCCATATTTAACCATTAGTAATCCCAATCATATTTAACTACTAGCAAACCCATCCATATTTAAACACTAGTAAACCCATCCATATTTTCGCCATGAGAGAACCCATCCATAATTTAATCGTTAGCAAACCCATACATATTTAACCGCTAGAAAACCCATCATTTCCAATTAACACTTAATATGTAAATCACAAGGCATATTCACACACACACACACACACACACACACACACACACACACACACATATATATATATATATATATATATATATATATATATCAAGTATATAATTGGTATATACAGAATGAATTCCAATAACCAACAATTACTATTCTTAAAAGAGTGCTCAATACAAAGTAGAGGAAATATAATTATTTTTAAAAAAAAAAAAATTATAACATAAGTATGTTATAAAATCACTACAAAAATAGCCATTTTTTTTCAACACACTCTGTGTGTTATCAAGTGATGATGTTGAAAATAAAATAAAAAAGGTTTTATTTTTTTCAACATCATCACTTGATAAGACACAGAGTGTGTTGAAACAAAATTATTTTTGTAGTGATTTTATAACACTTATGTTATAATTTTTTTTTTTTATATATATATATATATATATATATATATATATATATATATATATATATATATATATATATATATATATATATATATATATATATATATATATATAGGTCTTGAGTGTGTGACACTTTTCAGAAAAGTTCACTGTGTACATATTGGCAATTTACCCATCTCTGAGATTTGAACTCTTCTGATCATGTAATGGAAATAGACATTTTGCTTATTTTAAATTCAGTAAATAAAACACGATAATTTATTTCTCTGTTAAATCATTTTTACCTGAAAGCTTAAATAGCAATTATTTACATATTTTACATTTGTAAAATATGTAAATAATTGCTATCATTTTGACAGTAGGTATATAAACTAATATAGATATTCCGAGATAAACTGAAAATATACAAATATTAATGCATAGATAGATAGATAGATAGATAGATAGATAGATAGATAGATAGATAGATAGATAGATAGATAGATGCAAATAGATTGAGATAGATGTATGCAAATAGATAGATAGATAGATAGATAGATAGATAGATAGATAGATAGATAGATGGATGCAGATAGATAGATAGATGGATGCAGATAGATAGATAGATAGATAGATAGATAGATAGATAGATAGATAGAGATAAATAGATTGATGCAAATAGATTGAGATAGATCGATAGATACATAGATAGATACATAGATAGATGTGAATAAACTGGGATAGATAGATAGATAGATAGATAGATACTACAAAATTGATAGATACTGATAAAAATGTTTCATCAACTACACATACACTCTTTATTGGTCCATATGTGTATAACTCCATTATCAAGTAAAACTGGTAATTATGGGAGAGTGGTTTGCCCAAGTGCTCATTCACACAGTCTCTTCTCTATCAACCATCATGGCATGCTAGTGACAAGACATTCTGTCATGATATCTGTCAACAGGTAAAAGTTAACTCATGCCTTTCTCAAAGGAGGGAATTGATAGAAAGAAGAGAGAAGTTATGATGCAAGTGTACAACTAAAATTCACAATATGTTTGAACATTTCATTTGCTCCCTGTCTGTTCCTGGTTGAAACCTAAGCACTACTCTCCCTCCTCCCCTAGAAAAAATTCCGTTGCTAGTTTATAAAACAGGGAAAAGTGCTGGAATGGAGTTAATGCAGTATTGAGCATGTTTCCCAGACATTTCCATTTAACAATAATAGTAATAATAATAGCAGTAGTAGTTGTAGTAGTAGTATCGCATCATCGTACGTCATTGCGACTTCTGAGTCGGTCATTAGATCTGCCTTCTCTTTTTACCAAGATTTAACCTCCCCCTAACTTGAATAACATTTTTGTGTCCTATCAACTGTAGGTATCACGGAGATATAGATGAACTGAGAAATTGACGCAGTCACACCGCTCCCCTGATAGCATTACGTACTACTACTACTACTACTACTACAACGACTATTAGCACTTCTAAGTGAAGTGGAAGTCACAGAAACCACTCCTTCAGGAGCAGGAACGAGTTACTCTCGCTAGAGCAGTACTTATAAATTAAAAAGTTGGTCGACATTCGCTTCACTTTTCTGGAAGTGTCTCACTCACACCAGGCTTAGAATTCGTTTGCCGGAGATTATTTTTGAAAGGTAGGAGGCGTTTTTTTCATTTGTTCTCTTGTGTTTTTTTTAATTTTTTTGTATGTAAAAGTAGTCCTTATTCCTTCATAATATTTTTTTTCAAATAGTATATAATTTTTAAGAAGGTGTGATTTAACTTTTTTTTTTTTTTCTTTAACTGTGTCCAATAAAAATGATATCGGATTATGTAGTGACTTTCTCTCGAGGTTGAAAATAAATAAATTTCGACTGAATGTTTTTTTTTTTTTTTTTTTTTAAATAAGGAGCAAATATTTTTTTTTAATTTAACATGTTTCATTTAGCTTTTAGGAGAAAACAAATCCGATGAAGCTAAATTTAAAACGCGAAACCTGTGTTAATTAAATTTATAACATTTTTCTTACTTTTTTTCCTTATAAGCATAAACGTCCTCCAAACTTTGCGTAGTACAGTACAAGTTTTTTTCTTTTTTTTGTTCTAAGCTTTCATTTGTTAAAGTTTGGTGAGACTAAAAAAAAAAAGCTATCGTTTTAAAAACTAAATCACCTTGAAATTGACTGTTTTCTATTAATCGAAAAAAAGATTAGGTAGAAAAATGATTTCTTTTTATTCAAATAAGAATAAATTAACCAACAAGCAGGTCATATGGGCGACGAGCAGGTTGCAGCGACTTAAAAATTCCTTTTTTTTTATTTATTTATTTATTTAACCCATTTCTTTTTATTTAACCTCATGACGTAGTCATATGAAACAAATGTAAGAAGAGAATTAGATATTCATTTCCTATTATTATAAACATTTTATTTTCATAATTTTGTTTACTAAACAGAAATGTGATTGCAAACAAATAAACTCTCCTTTACATTTTACAAGGACCTTGAACTTGTCGGGTTTGAATTCACTCTGACAGATGCCTTTTAAAAAGTTTTAATTTCATTCTAACTGAAGAAACTATTTTTTAAAACCATGTTATTTTAAATTTCACATCTCGTAATAATTGTCTTGAATTTTACTGCAATTTTTATTTTTTATGCGGCAATAACAATATCTCAAAATATATTTTATTTTTATGTAAATATATATATCAGCGCTATTATCAGGTATCTAAATTGTTTTACTTATTTAATAACTGACTTTTGTTCTCGAAGTCTAGACTACTAGTAGAGAAAGAAATTTTTACATTTTTTTTTTTTTTTTTTTTTTTTATTAACTTGGTTGTATATAGTTTAAAAAAAAAAAGGGCCTCGGAGTAAAATAATCGAAAAAAAAGTAAAAATAAATCAAAACTTTTGTTTTGATGGTTACTACATGAAATTTTCTGGTAAAGATGGACCATAATTATGTCAATTAATTAAATAATACTAGTAAAGTAAAAAAAAAAAAAAAAGTGAAAAGATTTTAGTGACTTTTTAGTTTCATTTCAAAGCCGGTCTTTTGCAACCTTTCGATTTTTTAATCTTAAGTGCAGACGACGAAAATTTTTGTCATTGCAGTTTTAACTCAACTGCGAATGACAGTTTCTGTCGCAATTGATGACTTGTTCAATCCGTCTGTGTGGTTAACAAGCTGTTCTCGCACGTGTGTGTCTGTGTGTTTGAGAGGAGTGAATTGTCCATATTTCCACTACTATCTCTGTTCTTACAGAGATTTTGTTTTATGCATCTTTTTGTCTTTTCGACATCAAAATTAAGTTGAAGTTTTTTTTTTCTGTTCTATCGTAAAATATTTTAAAGCAACTTTAACCCTGAGGTTTGAAATACAATATAAAAAAAAAAAAAATGAAGACAGGATATATAGGAAGAGACGACTTTAAAATAAAAAATACACTTGGACTTGAAAAATGACTTTTTTTTTTTTTTTTTTTTTTTTATTATAATAATCGTGGGTGAAGTTGCTTTCTGTTTTTAAGAAAAATAGTATGGCTTTCTTCTTGGTATTTTCCCCCGTATCGTTATTTTTTGCCCACTGGAAACACACATGAATTTAAATAAAAACAGTTACTTTTGTGTGCGTACACACAAAAAAGTTATTTTGTGTGCGTACCCTGTACACTAGTATGTACACATGCATGCATAATTCTTATTTCGAGTACCCGTATATACGCTAAAAATACCAGATTCTTTTTTTTTTTTTTTTTTTTTTTTTTTTTTCAGTAGATGCCCAAGTAGGGGAAGTTGTTTTTTTTTTGGTTTTTTTTTTTTTTTTATTCTCGGTAATAAAGTATTAATTACTATATTGTATTAAAATATATTGACCTGAAGATATCTTTGAAGTATAACACTAAAACAGCCACCATTCAATGTTGATTCTTATGTCCACACAGTGTATGTTTTTTTTTTTTTTTGTGTGTGTGTAGCGTAAGTGATGTAAATCATCATGGATAGCTGTTCGGAATGAGATATGAGAGCAGATTTCGAATTCCAGTATGGTTTGTTTTATTTAACATGCGCAAATACTTTTTTGAGGGGGGGGGGAGGTATGAATCTTTCTCCTTCCAGCTATGGGCTAAATCGTAGGACTTGTATCTAAAAAGAATTGTTATTCTCAATGCAGTATTCAATCGCAAAAAACAAAAAACTATTCTTACAATCCAAGAATGTTTTGAAATAACCCACAAAAATATCTATCTCATCACTTTAAGTTTGGCAACTAACCTCTCCCACCTTTTTCTATATCTAATAACGTTAAAGGTCGTAAGTATGTGGTGAACTCCGTAAAGATCGATCTGACCTATACTGCGTTTTCAGTCATGTGGATCGTAAGACAACCTTGTTAAAAAAAAAAAAAAAAAAAAAAATCGATCTACGTTAGTTCAGCCGATAAAATATTTCTTGTTGTAGAAATCTGTCTTCAAGTTGCAGAACTCGTAGGACCATACAAAATATGCCCCACCTCTTTCTTTTGGGTCCTAGATGACTGTCATCAGACCTTTTTTTTGTCACTTTGTTGTTACCGCCCTATTTCTGAATGATAATTTATACATCACTTAATTTTTATTTTATTTACGTCTTTAATAGCGTTATAAAATAATTAACGTAAATAGTTACTGGATCTGGGACTGATCTCGCAGACCATTGATGAGTTTTCACCATGAGATCCCCCCCCCCAACAATTTTGAGCAAATGCTTGAAAAGTAGGAGCAATAGTCTATACCACACCTGCCAAAAATGTATGTACCCTGCTCTCACTTATCTGGACTTCACTGATCAACTGCAAGAAGATAGAATGCATCATTGTTAGCAAAAATATGAGCCCAAAATGCAAATTACAAATTGGAAATACTAAAATCACTCAAGAACAAAAAGTGGGGAATATTTTCACAAAGGACGGGAAGTGAGACCCTGAAACCCCGAGGTGCACTGGGATGACAAAAAATGCTTTCTAAAAGCTAAGCAGAGTATAAAGAAACGGAAAATCACGTTAGAAAGAAAGAAAATAGCACTGAACTGTTACGTGATATCAGACCTCCAAATACGGCTTCGGGTGCTGGACAATCTGCTGAAAGATGAAGACATGAAGCAACAGAAATGTGGTTCTACAGAAGGATGCTGAGAATACCATGGACCGAACATGTGACCAGCGATGAAATTATAGGGAAAATGGAAACAAATGAAACTTACTTTTCAGGAAGAAACAGTTGAAATTTCTACCGCACATAATGAGGAATAAGGGCTTGGAAAATCTGATACTCACAGGATTGATTGATGGTAAGAGACAGGAAAACAACGCATAACCTACTTAGTGAGCTTGAGTAAATGGATGGCAGAACAGGGCAGAGAAGAAGAAAAAACACAAAAATTATTTACAAAGGACAGGAAATTGTGGAGAGCCATGATCGCCTACCTACTGAACGAACACTGCATATAACGAATAATATCCAACCACAAAAAGCATTGATTTTTTTGGATCAGATTTTTTGCTTTAAAGAATTTCGTTTTTGTATTTATCGACTGACCAGAAAATTTAGGATGTTCAGTGTGGTGTAATGGATACCTGTTCGTAATGAGAAATCGGAGACCAGAGTTCGAATTCCAGTCGAGTTCGTTACATTCACTTACGCGCAAACACCCCTAGAGAGAGGTATGAATCCATCTCCTCTTTTCCCCACCCCCAGCTATGATTTCAATAGCATGATAAACTGGCAACCAGTCTCCCGCGCAAAGAAACGGCAACAGACTACGGAAAAATTTGCCTAGTCGGTCATGAATCGAAA